CCTGTGCCTTTTGTGTAAACATTAGTATGGAGAGTATACGGATGACCACTTATGTTTCCCAAGAACTCGAAATCGATCTCATCCCACGTAGTTCCCGGCGATTTTAGCTACACAAAGTCATCATAAACACCAACATACTCAATACATGTAGGCCTAAATGTATGTACTCTAGGGAATAGCAAAAGATGACAAAAATGGTTTGAAGTTGTATGTAACGACTTACATAGAATGTTGTTACTGTTCCAGCTGAATTACCAGGAACAAGTTTCATTTGAACCTCGGCTTTGCCATAGAGAAACTCCTGGTTAGACTGAAAACCGGATCCAGAGGATTTGTCGAGCGAGAGAGAAAGAAGTTTTCCATCTTTGTCGTGAATCTTTCCGCGGCCATCACCCCAATGTATCTGAACGTCTTTGTGGAAGCTACCCGCATAGACATGCACATATTGTCCCGCAAGAAGAAACAGAATTAAGAACGAAAAACTTGTACCACAAGAAAGCTTCATTTTCTTCTCAGGAGCATTGATATCTCAAATGTATTGTTGATGGAAAATTGAGGTAAGTGACATTAGTTTATATAGTGTTTGGAAATGTTAAAGGAAAGAGAGAAGGAAGTTTCATGGGTTTGATTATTGATCGTGGGCTGTATTCTAGTTGGCTCATTCGACCTCTTGTTTGGTTGTTACAAATTGAAACCAATAAAATATAATTTCATTACTCGTTTATTGTTACAAAACAGAGAAAATAATGTATATAGACATTCTTCGTATATAACACTAGATCCTGACCCGCACGTACGTGCGGGGTTTCATATTTTAAAAAAAAAATATAACAAATTTTAATTCAATATAGATTATTTTGTTGTTTTTATGATATATATTTTAGTGTATTAGATCTGGATCCACACGTATGTACGTAAATATTTTTTATAGAAATTATTATATATAATTTAAAAGTATAAAATATTTTGTTGTGTTAGTGAACTTCGTAATAAAAGAAATTCAGTTGCGTTAGTGCATAGTTATATTTTAAAATCCAGACCTAAACGTACGTGCGAAAGTATATTTAAGATATAATTTAGTTGCGAAAGTTAAGTGATGTTACGTTTTTATTTTCTAAACTAATCAAAACATTTTAAACAGTTTGATTACATGTGTTAAATAAGATATGGATTCGGTTTTAGTTTGAGTTATTTCATGTATATTAGCTAGGCGTAACTATTTTAGAACGGGAAACCTATCCCGTCATGTATTTGTTATAAATTCTTCGTCCCTTAACCCGTTTCGTATACTTGAAATAAAAATATTATGGTCCTGTGTCCATCATAAATAGAATATGTGTAATTGAAAATGTATGTGTAGGGTTATGTGTGTAAACAAATTTATTTTATGTAGTGCTCATAACCCGAACTCATACCAGTTGAGTATTTAGTTTGATTTTTAATTTATATTCTTCTCCCATCTCGTCACGTAATCTTAAAATCCTCCATTGATAAAACTTTTTAAACGGTAGTGTTTTAATTTTGAATTAAAATGATATTTTTATTTGTATTTTTGATATAGAATAATTTATTAGGATTGGTTTAGATAAAATGTAAGTTGGATATCAAATCTTAGTTTTTCAATTTTCATTGGTTAATAATTTTTTTGAAATTCATTTAATATTTTCGTCCATAATTAATAAGAGAGAGAAAGTGAGTTTAATTTTTTGGAAACTAATAATTACATAAAATAATTTTACTATATTTTATTTAAATATATTAAATTTGTGATTATCTATTGTACCCTTAATGAATTTATTTAAAAACACTAAAAACCAATGACATCTTATGTAATATTGTATCTTTCATAAGGTTATTTAATATCTAGTGATTCCCAATTAATTATATAGATTAGATCCGGACCCGCACCTACGTGCGGGATTATGTTTGTAGGTATAATTATTTGATATATAATTATAACTCAAACTTATGGTGGTTTGGTATTATTCAATTTGTGAATATTTGAAATAATAATTTATTTCACAATAAAATTTAGATCGATATGTCGACGGATTTGAATCGAATGTGAACTATCAAACCAGTAAACAACCGCCAAAAAGATTAAACTTCCCAAAACGGATGATTTAAATTGTCAAGTACGTCAAACCCGTCCCGATAGGTCTGCACAGTAAAACTCGACCCGTGAAATCCACGGGAGTAATATGTGCATCCGTCCCGCTTGAATTCGCAAAACCCGTAGGTAACTGGCATTTCAATAAATCAATTTTAAGAATTTATATAAAATATTTAAAGCTAACAATAAATTAATATAAATAGTAAATAATTTTAAACATAAATAAAAATATAATTCCACAAAACTGAAATTATTATATATATATATATATATTAAAATATATTTTAAGATTTTAATAGTATATAAATTTTTTCAAAAGCCCGCAAACAACCCAAACCCGTGGGATATTGAGATTCACCAAATTAAATAACATTTATACAATTTCGACATTAATAGCCTGATTTTTATGAAAAACTACTTTAAACAATTTCCATAAATATTGGGTAGTTATAATTTGTTGATTTAATTGAAATTTTTTTATAAACAACCATGTGTTTATCTTACCCGATAACAACGGATCAACCTAAGATCCACTGGTTTTTAAGCAACAAATAGACACAAATACTTTTTATAAATTTTATTCCTTTTTCAAATTCAAAATTACCAATGACATTCTATGTAATATTCTACACTTACTAAGGTTATATTCTTTCCAATGATTCCAAGTTAATAGTATAGCTATAGATTTTTAAAATTATTCAAAAAATGTAAGTAGCATAGTTCCCGTTTCATTTCGTCTCGACCCGTTTGATCCCATCTTGTATCCGTTTCATCCATTGTGTTTTAACCCGTCTCATTAAGTTTCGTCCTGTGCCCGCAGGGTCGGACTTAAGCACATTCTAGTGAAACATATGTTTCGGGCCTGAAATATTTTTTATCCCATTAGTCACATATTTATGCCCCAATAATTTTTTTCTATTACATAAATAGGCCCCAGATCTTATAAACTCATAAGTAAATAAAAATTGCTTTGACCCCAACTTGGTTTTGGCCCCTCTAGCGTACCCGTTCTCAAGTTTCCGCTGCAAATGAAAATGCATTCCCTACAAAAAAACACGACGGAAAGGAAAAGGTTTTTCTCAAAGTTTTCTTGCGAAAATATAATTTACTAGGATATGACCCGCGGTACACCGCGGGTTAATTATTTGATTTTTTATTTTTATAAATTGATGAATTTATTGTGTATAATATTTTTTGTTGTATACCGCGGGTCACATGCGTTGTATCTAAAATAAAAAATTTTAAGTTGTATTTGTTTTGTTTAGTGTTTAAGATTGTATAATTGTATTTTGATTTGTTATTTATAGGATTTCACCTGTGGTATATTGTCTCGTATTAATATTGACCCAAACCCGTCCAACCATATAATCTAAAATGAAATTAAACATCATTTTGTTATTTTTTAATAACACTTTTATTTAAATGTCATATAATTCGAGTTAATTTGAAATTTGCTTTCAAATAGTTTCCATGTATATTTTTAAATTAGTGTGTGTTTTTGGACCAACCCGTAAAAACAATTTATAATTGTATCTTAAAATACTAATTAGGATTTCACCCGTGATATACTGTCCCATTTTAGATAATTGTAAAAATTAAAGAAAGATCCGAATGACTCAATTTCGGGTCTGAATAAAATAACGACATGATTAAATGCTCAATTTGTTCTTAAAAATGTTAATATAGATTACACACATATTTTTATTCATCGATTGAGTAATATATGTCCGTTTTAAAAAATTTGAATTGTAACATATGCAGAAAAAAAAAAAAAAACTAAAATTTACTAACTATTTATATATTTTATAATAATTTAAAATAATATAAATATAAGATCAAATAAAAGTGAAATAAGAATCATATATTTATGTTTATATGATTCTTATTAAACTTTGGTATATAATCTTTTATGCATAAAACGAGATATTTAGGAAAAAAGTTGTATCACATATGTAATGTGATTTATTTTTCATTTAGGAAGTCCATACAAAGTAAAAAAAATTATATCAAAAGGTAATTTAAGATATTTCTTCAATCTATACATTTTTCTATTTTCTCTTAATAGAATTAATAAATCATTTAAATTACAGGTAATAGTTGGATAGAAAGTAATGTTATGGCTAAGCATCTAAACGGCTAGAACGATCCACACTCTCTATTTTGGCCGGCATTGGAAGGTCAACAATTGTTTTGGCTTAGCCATGTAGGAGACCTATTAATTTGTTTTTTAATTACATTTTAATAAAATGTCTTAAAGGAAAAATAAAATGAAATAATATATTTAGTATAATGTTTATAATAATTTATAATATATTTATAATAATTTAATAATAATTTAATATTCAAAAAATATAAAGAAAAAAATATCTAATTAATTTCCTAGGTGCTTAAACATCTACGAATGTTTAGTTAGTTTTTAGCAAATTTTAACCTATTGAACTTTTTGACCAAAATAACCTTCCTATGATGTCAAATACTGAAACTAATTTAGAACTTTTGTGAGTTATATTAGCACCACATTTTATCACAACTTTTTTCATTATTTTTTATCAGTTGAAAGTTTATAACCATGTTTTTACCAATTGAATTTCTTATATTTTTCAAATAATTGTAATAACAAAAGATATTCTTACAAAATTATAAAAGTTAAATATAATATATGGCTCCATTTCTAGTGATCTCAATGCGGGACCATCATCTATACTATTAATTGAGAAGCATTAAATAATAAATAACCTTATAAAGGGTAAAGAATTACAAAGAATGCCATTAAGGGTAAAGGGTTGCCGGATCACAAAATCCGGCATTAAATAATAAATAACCTTATAAAGGGTAAAGAATTATAATTCAAACATTGTTAACAAATAAAGACAATAAATATGGGATAATAGGGAGAAAAACAAACTGAGCCGACAAAAGAAAAAAAAGAAAGGAAAAGGAAAGTGCGAAAGTTGTTTCGAAGGAGTTCAAGAGACTAACCGATAATCGAATCCATGTGTTGATTTGGGACTGTATCATGAGGTAAGTGATGCGTTATTCTTCCTTTTTATTTCATCAAATTTCAGATTATTAACAATCTGGATTCACAATTTTCAAATTTATTTCAACGTTTTTGAAAAAAATCGATTTATCAAAAGCTGCTTTGATTGCTATTTGCTAGCATATTAGACTCGCGATACTCAACGCTTGAAGCATATATCCTTAGCTTGTTATCACCTTCGCCGATGAGGTTCTTTCAGTGCATATATTTCCATATTTATCTGTTAGATGAAGATTAGGTTAAGAAAATATATTGATTACAGCTTTTGGATCCTATGAAAAACTCCTTGTCCTATATTTCTAATAACTATCATATGATTTCTTTTCCTCTTACTTCTTTATGGTGGCGAACAAATTTTTTGAGAAAGTGCTTAAGTCAGATTCATCCCAAAGATCCTCGTGTCGTTCTTATGCACTATCAAGTTCTATGTCTCTGTTAAATTAAAAAGTTCTAGTTCTTAATCAAAGTTCTCTGCAATTTATATTCTCCTCTTTTTCTTTGGTAGACTAACGTTTCTATTTTCAAAACGTGGATTTTATGATCGTAGGTCTTGATTGATTTGTCAATTTCTATGTGTGTTGATGTGAGGTTCTATCTCAGAGGTAAGGAATTTTTAGTTCTTTTTTTTCATCAAGTTTTGGGACACGTCATCTCTGAATTCTTATTTTGCAGATTAAATTAAGGAAATAGGTTGGTTAAAGTTTTTGATCTTTAGAATCAATGATTTTGTTTTTGTTTTTTTTTAGTCTTTTGTTAAGTCTATGTGAAAATTCTATCAATGAAGAACACAATCAGCTCTAAATTTGTGAATTGTGACTTTGACTTTGGCTTTTGCAAGCAAATGATGTGTTCAGCATCAGTCTCTTGGATTGGTGAGAATCCAAAAAAAAGTTTGGTTTAATTTATTTCGTGACTATGGAAAGAAGCAAAGGTCCTTACATAACTATCACCATCGTCGATAAGGTTTTTCAATTTCCATATGTTCCTTCAAGGTTCTTATGAAAATTAAACGATTACTTTGTCTACCATCTTCTAATGCTTTATCTAGGAAGAACTTAATCATCTATTAGATAATAGGTTTACACTCCATTAGAGGAGGAAGAAACTCCAATAGAGGAGGAAGATACAGATAAAAGGGTCGGAGTTAAAAACTCAACGACAACAATAACAATAATAAAAACGGAAGATCTTTTTTTTTTTTTTTTTTTTTTTGTGCCCCAAAAAAAAAAAAAAAAAAAACGGAAGATCTAAAGTTATAAAGGTATATAGATTTGGAGTTTTGTATGTGGTTTTAGAAGGATGAGCTCGGATTTTCTATTTATAAGCTAAAGAAATCGGTTATGCATTGTTACTGTTTAGGTTTGATAAGAACAACTCTATTAAAATCTTTAAAAAATGTAATTAACAATTTTGATTATAGGAATATGCTCCTAAATCCTGATTATAGGAATATGCTCCTAATAATCCGGTTATGATATATAGGGAAAGTTTGTTTTGGAAAAATCATTAATTGTTATGTTTTGATTTGGAATATTGTATCTTATATTCAATATTCAATAGTTATGTTAGTTACTAAAAATCGATAATATATACATGGTTCTGATTTGCTGCTCTCTTTTGCAGGTTTCGGTGATAAAAGTTGTTGAACCGGATATGCGGGTCTGCAGTCAATGCTCCTAAAATTCAGAAGATCCGAGTACTCCCCAAATCGGGTCATAGATCCGCGTCCTTTTTTTTTTTTGTTAAGTTGTCTTGACTATTTTGTCCTTTTAATTTCGTTTCAAATTGTTCTTCAGTTATTAAAATATTAATGGCATTCTTTGTAATTCTTTACCTTTATAAGGTTATTTATTATTTAATGCTTCTCAATTAATAGTATAGATTATTAGGGGACCGTTACAAAGATCCAAAACCTAAAAATCCCAAATTAACGAACCAAACCAAACCAACCCAAATACCCGAATCTATATTTCTAAACATTTCAATTAGCAAAAAACTCGATATTCGCTTGGGCCTGCAATAAACATAGTTGGGCCTGCTTTCATATAGATACAAAACGCACCGTTTTACGTCTTTCGTCTCTCTTCTCTCGCCTAGTGACAGACAGAGGAAGCAGAAGAAGAATCTCAGCCATGGCAAATTTGCTTACGGCCAAATTTAGCTCCCGTCCTTTCAAGCAAGCCACTCAGCCTAAATTGTCGACCAAATCACAAACCAGCACGAGCACACAATAGCTCTCACCTTCGGCAAAGCTAAATGGGACCATCTTT